TACTGTTTATTGAGCATGTTGTTTCCAACCAAAATCAGGGGAGGAGCGGGTGCTCCAAACCTGGCTCTATATTACAGGGCATCAGTGCTTACTAGAGTAATAACCAGGATTCACCACCAACATACTAAACTACGGGTGACTATTGAACAACAGTTTAACCACAGTGATTTATGTGCTCTACCATGGATAGATTCCAAAGTGCGCAAGGACATGCCATCTCTCCCAACTCTTATGAAACAATTCTTGGTAGCTTGGGATCGCACTCTTGCTCAAATGCCTATTTCTTCATATATAGGGCTCATGGCACCATTATTTGACAATCCAGTGTTTCCCTTAGCAATGCACAGACATACATTTGAAATAGGAACTAAAACGTCCCATTGATGACTGGTACAAGTATTCATTGCAATGTGGCAACATATTACAGATCAGGTTGTCTAACTGGCTAGCTCACCAAAGTTTACATCTTTTGCAAATTTCACCCACTAGACAGGATTAAAGGGACATCGCCACTTACCCCTTTTGAACAAATTCTTCTGCAAGACTCTCCTACTTCCCATACAGCCTCGCAATTTTATAGTATTCTGCTTCGACAAGCCCACCTTGATTTACCTAAATACACTACAAAGTGGGAAAGGGAAATGGGGACTTCAATAGATCCGAAAAAAGGGATTTTACAATGAGTAACAGAAAACCTGTTTTCTCTTGCATTCATTGACAGACACAGTACATCTTAATCTTGACAGTAGGGATGTCCCAAAGTAGTGCCTCAATGAGGGGTGGGAAAAGGACCAAAAGTAAAATGGGCAACCATGCAACCATCTGAAAAACACCCCCTGACTGTGGCCTGCAAAACCTTACAGCCAAAAACACATCAAAGAATACAACCACATCAACCTTGCAAAACTTGGTAAAAGGTATGCATAGATGACCAGGTAGATGCTATGCAAACCTGAGACGTAGACACCTGAAGTCAAAACGCCCAAAAGGCACCCCAGTGGAGTGTGCCATAATGGGGAAGGGGGGAGCCTGATCCTTAATGGCATACACCTGAACAAACATTCACCAAATCCATCAGGAAGTAGTGGCGGAAGAGACTGCCAGGCCTTTCTTCGTACCATCCGTGAGCACAAAGAGAATGTGACTTCTGGAAGGAGGTCGTAACACACAAGTATAGACAAACTGTCCGAAACACACCCAAGATGTGCAGTGCTACCTCCTTTAGGTGTGAAGAGTGTGAACACAGGGAAGGCAGGACATTGTCCTGAATCAGGTGGAAATTTGACATGACCTACAGAAAGCAAGAGGGACATGGACTGAGAACCACTACATCCCTGTGTAAGGCCAAAAAGTGAGACCTAATGGATAAGGCTGCCAGCTCTGACACCCGCTGTGTGTGGAAGTGATCTCAACTAAGAAAGATAGAATCAGAAGGGCAATATGCTGAATGCTGTCGCAGAGAGGTTTCTGGGGAACCGAAAGAACCAAGGTAAGGTCCTACGGCAGCAGCGGGGAGTGCGCAGGAGGGGCCACATGGCAAACCCCTTGGATAAAGTTACGAACCAAGGAGTGCCCCATTGGAGAAAGGCCAGAACCCAAGCCACTGAGAATAAATGTGGATGGGAACCTTGGCAACGGGTGATATCATCCATCCAGGTGTGATAATCTTCCAAGGAGAAGACTTACATGCACTCAGCATTGTATCAAGAAACCCAACAACCCTATATTTCTCAGAGCCTGGCTTTTCATAGCCATGGCATCTAGGCAAAAGACAGTAAAGCAGAGTAGCAGATAGGTCCTTGGCACAGGAGGTCCTCGCGCAGGGGCAGCTGTTAGGAAGCGTCCGTGACCACTCGGCGTACCAGGGTAGATGAAGCCAGTTTGAGGCCACCAGAAAGAGCAGAATCACTTTCGCCTCTAACCTGTACAGCAGAGGAGGAGGAAGCTTAAATGGAACCTTGGTAGCTCTTGCCACGAACCTCAGTAATAACCTGTCGAGGAGGGGGTTTGCTGGGCCCGAGAAGGCCCACGAGAAGTCTGAAGAAACACACCTCAGCAGAGTGACTACTCTCTCTGATCCAGTGTCTGAAACTGAGGTAATCCGCTTGCCAATTCTCAATGCCTGAAAAGTACCTGATGTGGAGAGAGCCGGTACATGAAGTTCTGCCCACCGAAGAATACACAAGGCCTCCAGCTTGTCCATTGGGGGGAACATCAGGACCTGCGCTGAGTTATCAGGCCCAAATACTCCAGCCTACTGGTCGGTGTCAAGGTGGACTTCATGAAATTCAGAACTGATCCAAAGTCCAGCAAGGTGCACATAGTGATTTCCACATTGTCCAGCACATAATGAGTCCCCGCTTGCAGGAGCAAGACATTCAGATAGCCAATCAAAACGACTCCAGCAAAGCCAGTACTGAGTCGGACACCTTGGTAAAAACCCAAGGAGCGATGACCAGGAAGGGAAGCACCACAATTAAAAATGTGCATCCCTGACCGCAAAGCTCAAGAAGCATCGAAGACCAGCTTAAAAGGGGACGAGCAAGGAGTCACCACTACCTGAACACCGGCAAAACGCTGAACCATCCACACTGTCCAGGAGAGGCCCCATGCAAAGAGCAAGCCCGTCAGTCATCCAGAAAATTATTGCCACATAAACAGGAAAGATGGCTACCAGCCAATGACACCAAAAATGGCCTGTGCAATTCAGGGAAAATGGCCACTGACCACACCAGAGTTGCATGGGACCACACTAATGTGTAAACTGCAGCCCTTCTTTACAGACAAAAAACCCACAGAAGCCCAGGAGCAGGGACACCCATCCCAGAGCACCACAGGGCAGAATGAGCAGGCCAGCTCATGATCATGGGAAAGACTGAACTTAGATGAGGAAGGGAGGAAGAGCAGAAGGGAAAAAGCTCTGGCCACCAGAGGGACTGGCAAAATAGAACCAAGGACTGGAGGGAAAGAGGAAAACCCTGCAGGGCCAAACATCCCAGGGAGTATCCGTGCTCCTAGATTGTAAGCTCGAAAGAGTAGGGCCCTATAACCCCTCGTGTGCTGTTTGTAGTTGCTGTAATGTTTCATGTCCCCCCCTCTATTGTACAGCGCTGAGCAAACCCTTTGGCGCTATAGAAACTCAATGTAATGTAATGTAATAATACAACTCACTAGGGGATGGAATGGGGGGGGGGGGGGGGGGGAGGCATCGACTTATTGATCCACGGAGGTTGTGGGTAAGACTCCAGAAACAGATCCTTCTCATCAATTAAGTGGGAGGCTGTTGGCCACGGTTAACACTGTGACACAGACTGAATGGCGCCCAGTCATATGTATCCCTGTGAGATGTTTAACTTGTTGCCCTATTCCAAGATGGGGCTTTCGCAGGCAACCCAGCGTGTAGCTAAAAGTCTTAGTGCGCTTGTTAGCCAGACTGAGGTGACCACTGGATCTAAATTATCTATCCTACTACCCAGAGCAGATGCTGTATGAAGATCTCTCCAGGAAAAAAAAAAAAAAAAAAAAAGTATGGAACCAAAAGGTTCCAGCAGGGAGCTAGGTCCTTACTCCTGAAACACTAGGCAGAAATAACTTGGCTGCCTATAGCACAGAGGGAGTTTATACCAGCTAGGACTGCCCATAGGCGGTGCAAAGTTCTTTTTCTGCCTAGTGTCCTACTCCTCTAGGTAGCACTATAAACCCTTATATCGATCAATGAATGCAAGAGAAAGAAAATTAATGCAGCCACCACATCTAATAATTGGTAAGCTGCAATATATTACATTTTTGGTTTGGGGCTTGATGCTGCTTTAAAAACAAACAAAACTTTGAAGTACTTTTGAAAAACATTCGTCAAGCCATCAAATGTACTGAGATATTTCGTATGAATATTTGTACAATTTTTTTACTCTCACATCTACTTGTGTATGTTCATCTTTTGTCTCTAACTGGAAAGGGAAGGCCATATCTGTATTAGGGCCACCCACAATGTAGGGTCCAGCCAGATACACAGACAGCTTCCCAAACTTCCAAATGTGAACTGGGAGGTATATGCAGAGGACATCATCATAAGCAACACCAAGTAAACACACTACTGCACACATACCAGCCAGCAAGTACAAAAACAACTGCACCTTTGTTCAGAGCAGCTATGCGAGGTTCTAACAGTGTTAGATGTTAGGTGTTTTCATCCTTTAAATCAGACCTAAAACAAAAATTAACTGTTTTGCCAATTAAGCACACCCTAAAAGTATTCCGAACCTTCCAGTTGTATCCCCATAACAAAAAAATGAAAAACTAAAACAGGCTCAAGATCCATCCTAATGGCTGCGGCAGGTCAGGAATCTCCCCACCTGATGCTGAGACACATAAGAAATCCTTGGTTGATTTTAACTTTGCAGCATTAACAAAAAACACCCAATTAAATTTGGTGGACTGGCAAAAAAACCCCCACAACTTTTTAGCAATGTTAACATAATTACTGGGAAGGAAAAAAATAGATCTTGCCCAAATTTCTAAGGCTTTGGTTAGGTGAACAGGACTGAATAGAACCCAGAACAATATTTTCTCCAGGAAAGGAAAATATGCCAAGTCCTTTATATTACTGTATTTATGAACATTGATGTGAAACCTGAGTAGGAGTCCATTTTAAACATATGCTCTTAGAATCCCAAGGTTAAAGGTGAGAAAAGTAATGTATGGCTGACAGTGACTACAGTTCAAACTTTCCGTTACACTACAGGACAAACTGGGCACTGTATATATCTAGATAGCTCACACAAATGAGCTGAGAAAATGGAGACACCAAGCAACTTCATCAAGTGCAATTTACTACAAGCTTCTGGCTCAGGGCCTTCATAGACCTTCAAGTCAAACATATTGTTCATGAGCACAAAAATCGACACTGCTATATGAAGGAGAAAAGAGCAGGGAAGCAAAGGCTCAAATTGAACATTTCTACTTTTCTGAGAAAAAAATACATTTTAAAGGTTATCTCCTACCTGTAATGGGAGCTTCAACTTCTATCATAGTCTTCTCTCGTCGTAAAATGGCAGCACCCTCATTGATGATCCTAAGTGCAATTTCTTCATCTACCCGACCTTCTTTTATTAAGTGGTTCTTTAAAACATCCACTCTAGGCTTACCATCAGTGTCAAATACTTCTTCTGATGTTAACCGATGTGTTGGGGGAAAAGGAACAGCTACAAATAAATAAAATGTAATTAGTGTCTTTTTTTTTCATGACTGACTTGGCAAAACTGGAACACAAGTATAAACAGAACACACTGAACATGTAAATAAACAAGTTGAATACAAATATGATGTGCAGGGATGTGCAATTCCTATCGCCCGATGCCAGAGACATGACGTTTCAGGCCCCGGGCAAGTAGTTTTTATTTTTGCCACTAGCCCGCAGCAGGGCTCAACTGTTAGGTGGAATCATTCGGGCTTTCACACAGCCCACAGTGTCAGCCTCTCCCCCCTGCCCATTATATGTTCCGGGCTCCGCTTGCCCATCTGCGGGCCCGGGACTGGCTCAGTGTGCGCTAGCAGGATGCAGTATAGGGGACGGAGGAGAGCGGACACATCCGCTCCCCTCCCCTCTTCTCCTGACCCAGAAGTGATGTGACATAACTTTTGGGTCCCCGTTTGACACATTCCCGGTCATTGAAGCCAGGAAAGAATGTAATGCGCTGAGATGTGCACTGCATTACATTCAGTGGAGCAAAGGGGAGACATCCAGGGACTTTTAGACCCTGAATGTCTCAAAAAAGAGAACCCGTCACCAAAAAAATCATCATCACATACAGTTAAGGAAATAAGTATTTGATCCCCTGCTGATTTTGAATGTTTGCCCACTCACAAAGAAATGATCAGTCTAAAAATCGAATGGTAGGTGTATTGTAACGCAGAGACAGAATAACAACAAAAAATTCAAATGAAATGCATATCTAACAAATTATGCACTGATTTGCATGTTAATGAGGGAAATAAGTATTTGATCCCCTTCACAAAACATGACTTAGTACTTGGTGGCAAATCCCATGTTGGCAATCACAGAGGTCAGACATTTCCTGTAGTTGGCCACCAGGTTTGCACACATCTCAGGAGGGTTTTGGCCCACTGCTCTGGGCACACCCTCTCCAAGTCTTTAAGGTTTGGTGGCTGACATTGGGCAACTCGAACTTTCAGCTCCCTCCACAGATTTTCAATCGGATTAAGGTCTGGAGACTGGCTAGGCCATTCCAGGACTGTAATGTGCTTCTTCTTGAGCCACTCCTTTGTTGCCTTGGCCGTGTTTTTTGGGTCATTGTCATGCTGGAACACCCATCCACGACACATTTTCAATGCCCTGGCTGAGGGAAGAAGGTTCTCACCCAAGATTTGATGGTACATTGCCCCATCCATCGTCCCTTTGATGCGGTGCAGTTGTCCTGTCCCCTTAGCAGAAAAACACCCCCCCAAAGCAGAATGTTTCCATCACCATGTTTGACAGTTGGGATGGTGTTCTTGGGGTCATAGGCAGCATTCCTCCTCCTCCAAACACGGCGAGTTGAGTTGATGCCAAAGATCTTGATTTTGGTCTCATCTGACCACAACACTTTCAACCAGTCCTCCTCTGCATCATTCAGATGTTCAGTGGCAAACTTCAGACTGGTCTGGACATGTGCTTTCTTGAGCAGAGGGACCTTGCGGGCACTGCATGATTTCAATCCTTGTCGGTGTAGTGTGTTACCAATTGTTTTCTTGGTGACTGTGGTCTCAGCTGCCTGGAGATCATTGACAAGGTCCTCACGTATTGTTCTGGGATGATTCCTCACTGTTCTCATGATCATTGACAGTCCACGAGGTGAGATCTTGCATGGTGCACCAGAGCTAGGGAGACTGATAGTTGTTTTGTGTTTCTTCCATATGTAAATGATTGCACCAACTGTTGTCACCTTCTCACCAAGCTGCTTGGCGATAGTTTGGTAGCACAGTCCAGCCTTGTGTAGGTCTACAATCTTGTCCCTGACATCCTTGGACAGCTCTTTGGTCTTTGCCATGGTGCAGAGTTTGGAATCTGATTGTCTGATTGCTCCTGTGGACAGGTGTCTTTTATACAGGTAACAAAATAAGATTAGCAGCACTCCCTTTAAGAGGCTGCTTTTAATCTCAGCTTGTATGAAAGACACCTTTTAGCCAGAAATCCTGCTGAATGATAGGGGATCAAATACTTATTTCCCTTATGAACATGCAAATCAGTGCATAATTTGTTAGACATGCATTTCTTTAGAATTTTTTGTTGCTATTCTGTCTCTCAGTGTTACAATACACCTACCATTCGATTTTTAGACTGATCATTTCTTTGTGAGTGGGCAAACATTCAAAATCAGCAGGGGATCAAATACTTATTTCCTTCACTGTAGGGGACTTTTTGTCCCCTATGAGATAAAAAAAAAAAAAAGTTAAGAAAATTTTTTGAATGGAAGTTACACCCAAGCATATAACCCCCCCCCCTCCAAATTTTTCAATGCCCCCCACCCCCACATATATGCACGCACAAACGTAAAAGCACACGCTGGGACACCTACACATGAAAACGTAGATTGCGATACACATGTTACATATCACAGCACACACCAGAGTGAGAGCAATAATTCTAGGACCAGACCTCTTCCATAACACTAAACTGATGACCTATAAGGGGCTTTAAAAGTATCACCTATAAAAAATATAGGGTACTGAAGTCTGTCGCCATTTCAAAAGTGCATGCAAATTTAAGGTTTGACATGTTGGATATCTATTTACTTGATGCAACCTCATCTTTTATATTTTACAAACAAATTGGATAATTTATTGCTTTTTGTGTCCTAAAATTAACTTAAGTGTATCTTGTACTGAAATTTTGCGCTTCCTAGACCTTTCTGATAATATTGTGACATAAAACATTTGAACTATCACTATTTTATTCTCTAGGGTCTCTGATTTCAGAAAATATATGTTTGGGGGTTTTGAGTAAAACTGATTTTTTTTAAAAGTGTGCAAATAACACAAAAACAGCTCTGGCAGCAAACTGGATAAAAGATAAGCTGGACACTCCCCTTTCCTGACAAGCACCCAATCGGTGCTCATTACACTGCAAGGTCTCTCCCCTCCCTGATAGTCCCCGGGTGCGGTGCTGGAGAGAGGCAGGGAGGTGCGGAGGAGATAAACAGCGTAATGTTAAAAATATTAAACATTTAAGTCACCATAAAGCCCCTTTTGCTTTTAAAAGCCCCAGACATTACTTAAATCAGATTTAAATACGGTTTTGGTTAAAATGTATGTTTTTTTATCTGGACAAGTAGATTGTCATGAGGGACAAGTAGATTGGGACACCAATTTAGTCCCTGGACAAGTAGTTTTTTTAAAAAATTTCCACACCCGTGATGTGTCAGCATTGTTTTATATCTAGTAGTCATTTAAAATGACAAAAACATGCAGCACAAGATTTTACTATTATCAGTTGTACTATTTAGCATTTCTATTTTCAGTACAAAACACACACACACATATATATATATATATATATATATATATAGTAACCAAGAAATGGGGTGGACTGTGTCTTGTACTGTTCTCAAAGATATGAAGTTAACATGCAAGTCAAAATTCCTGTTGTCTTAATCATATAGTACAGGATACAGGCGAAGTATTCAAAGACCCTGGACTGTCCCCAAGCAAATGAATGAGAAAGGTAGGCAACAACCAGGCCAACAGAACTGCACCAATAGGCCCAAAACAGGACCAGATGGTGGCCTCACACAGTTGGGGTACAGAGGCCTGGTGCAGAAATTCCTGAGAAACTTTCACTGATCTGAATAGGTGTTTAAAAAACAACAGGGTGGGGATTTGTCCTTGACAGTGTAAGTTCTAGCAGTCATATTTCTTATCCATCTCATGATAGTGGACTTGTAATTTGTGTGTGTTCAGCAGCAATCACTGCAGGTAGTCGCTGGCTGTGTAGAGCGGTGAACAGCTATTACCCGCTGAAGGAACTGACACTCCTGTCTTAATCGTAGGTGTGAATGTAACCTATGTGGTCCTTTTTCATATTCCAACACTCTGCCATTACTTGTGGGCAAAGGGAGTGTTTGCTGCTATAAGACTCATCTGAAAATGGTAGGACTGGACTGGTGTTGTGTTATACAGTGTACAGTATACATTGTGTGTGTTTTTTTTCAGCCGGAACCACGGGGAATGCAGTTCTGGCACCTTTAGCACAGAATGCATGTAACGGTAAAGGGGGCTGAGATGTGTTGGAGGGTCTACTGATGTTGATTTCTGGAGATCTATTGTAGCTAGGGTGTAGTGCAAATGGTGGGTTGCTGGTGAGAGATCTATTGTTGCTCTGGGGTTCTTATGTTGTTCGGGGGCATCTACTGTTAAGGGGTACGGGTCTATTGATTCTGTCTGCTGGGGATCTATTGTTGCTCTACGGTTCTTATGCTGTTGGGGGGGGGGGGGGTCTCTGTTGATGCTGGCTGCTGGGGGATCTATTGTTGCCAGGAGTCCATTGTTGCTGGAAAGGATCTATTGTAGCTAGGAGGGGTCTTTTATCATTAATCAATTCCATTCAAATTACTTTACACCACAAAATGATATTTGGCTCTGTATTCTCTAAGGAGCAGTACTAGGAAGTGGATAGGGGGCGGAGACAAGGGACAGTGCTCAGAGGTAGATCGAGGGTGGAGACAAAGGGTGGTCCAGGAGAGATTGGAGTACCTGCACCTATTCTCTGTATGTATGTACAGTAATACCTCAGTTTACAAATTTATTAGATCTGCAGGACTTTTCGTATAGCGAAAAATACGTAAACCGCAACACTGTTTCCCATAGGAATGCACTGAAAACCAATTAATCCATTCCGAAGGTCAGAAAAACAGTAAACGCTACTAAAATACCGCATGACTTATTTTATTAACTCATGCGGTATTTTAGTAGTGACAACCATATGTTAATGTTTCAGCTGTCAGCGGGGTTCCCCACTGACAGCTGACTGTAAAAGAGTTGCCGGCAATTTAAAAAAATTATTTAAAAAAGGCGTGGGGTTCCTCCTCCCATCCATACCAAGCCCTTTTGGTCTGGTATAGATTTTAAGGGGAACTCCCATGCAAAAAAAAAAAAAATGGCGTGGGGGTCCCCCCCCAAAATCCATACCAGACCCTTATCCGAGCATGCAG